TATCTACATACTGTGTCAGGAAACCCTCCTGCACACATTGGACAAAAGCTGACCCATCTGAAGTACTCGAACTGTAGCGTTTCCAGTCAATATTTGGAAAGTTAAAGTCCCCCATAACAACTGCCCTGTTACTTTCGCTCCTATCCAGAATCATCTTTGCAATCTTTTCCTCTACATCTCTGGAACTTTTCGGAGGCCTATAAAAAAGCTCCCAACAGGGTGACCTCTCCTTTCCTGGTTCTAACCTCAGCCCATACTACCTCAGTAGACGAGTTGTCATCAAATGTCCTTTCTGCCACCGTAATACTGTCCTTCACTAACAATGCCACACCTCCCCCTCTTTTACCACCTTCCCTGATCTTACTGAAACATCTAAACCCCGGAACCTGCAACAACCATTCTTGTCCCTGCTCTATCCATGTCTCCGAAATGGCCACAACATCGAAGTCCCAGGTACCAACCCATGCTGCAAGTTCACCCCCCTTATTCCGGATGCTCCTGGCATTGAAGTAGACACACTTCAAACCACCTTCCTGCCTGCCGGTACACTCCTGCAACCTTGAAACCTTATTTATGACGTCACTACTCTCCGAAACGTCAGCCTTCCTGCTCCTATGATGCTGCTTGGCCTGCTGTGTTCATCCAGCTCTGCACCTTGTTCTCTTGAGCCAGGAAAATGTTCGTTTATATGCAGAAGGTAGGGTGGGGGAAGGTATAAGATGTGAACGATAGCCCAAAGAAATAGATGAATAGTTGGACAAAGGAGTAGACAATGATCTAGCTAGGAGAGTGATTAGCTCTTAATGGGGACTGTTGGTAACAAACGATAGGTAGTGTGTAATGGCAGACTGACAACAGACTTCTGTTTTTGTTCCTGATTTACAGCATTTGCAGTTCCTTTAGTTTTTATTGAGGATCAGAAAATACTTTAAATTGAAATGACTTTGTGTTGTTTTTACCTAACCTGGTTCAGGTAACCTGATCTTGAGTGTATTTTCCATAGATCAAAGCAGCAAGAGATTTACTCTGATGCAGATGCTCTGTGTTCGAAGAATAGCTTCAACAACCCAGCTTACTACATCTTGGAGGGAGTACCGCATCAGCAAGCTGCACTGCTGTCACCAGAGCACCAGGCTTCAGCCTTTCCCAAGATAGGACAAAAAAACAAAAACCAGGCAACACTTGGTTCACAAGATAGGAAACCTAATCATTCAGGACGCCTTTCGTTAGCGAGTGAGGAGGGATCCCTGTCAGATGACGAAAGTTCAAACCTTAATCGGCCACCGCCCGATTACCCCCCTCCTCCTCTCCCCAAGACGGTGGATGTGGACATGGTTGATAATCCTTTCTATGCCTCCTCAAAGGAACTCCAGCGACTCAAAACCGGGCCAGCCAGGGACGAGCTAGACCTCAGGAACCCTGGTGCTAAGCACCGGACTTCCGCAGAATCTTTAGAAGCCAAGGCCTCACTTCCGCCAAAAGCCCACCCTAAGCCGCAGCTGGTCTCCGGCACACCTCACTTGGCCAGCCCCTTTCTGGCTGACCAATGCAATACTCCCTACCAAGGCCTTGTCGATGACCGATCCTACTCCGCCCTTCAGATGGCCAAGAGCCTCAGTGAGGTGGACTATCAAGCGGGCAAGATTGAGCCTATACCAAGGAATCCTCCACTACCGGTGAAAGGCCAGCTTCCCCGAGGGCTGCTCCCTGACTACAGCAGACCCATCTCCTTCCCTTCACGCTCCATAAAGGAGAGCATCGAAGAGGACATGGCTGAAGAGGTGAGTGTTAAGAGGGGAATGGGGCTTGGCAGCACCTGAATGACTGTAATAGTTGATATCCTTTCGAATCTTGCTGTGTGCTTTGTCAAAACATCACTCATGCAGAGTCAAAATCCAGTAGTTAGAGGGGGCCAGGAAATCATTGCACACAAACATAAGATTTTTGCTCCAATATATATGGATATAAAATGTGAATGATTAGTTGCCAATCTAAAATCATAACATTGAGCATCATTAAATTGCCATCTAGCCCCAAAGCCTGTTCTGCTGTTTGAACACAGTCAATCTGTATCTCAAATCCACTTAGCTGTTTTTTGTTTCATTTGCTTTGAGACCTATGTCCGTCAGTAGAAACGTAAGGAGGCCATTAGCCTGTTCAGTAAGATCATAGATGATCACCTTAACTTGTATTTTTCCAACTTTGTTCCATATCCTTTCCTTACTCAATAAACATTTAGCACTCTCAACCTTGAAACCTCCACTTGATCCTAGTCTTTTCATGAAGAGAAATCCAGATTTCCATTAAATGTTATGTGACAAAGCGCTTCCTCATTTTACTGTCTGTCTCTACCAAATTGTTCTTTTGTGTCAATTCCATATCTCATTTTATATAACTCAGTCAGTTTTTCTTTTCTCTGAATTCATTTGTGTATGTGGGCATCACTGGCTGGCCAACATTTCTAGCCCAAGCCTATTTACCCTCTATGCTCAAGGGAATGCAAGCTTAAGAAAACAGACCATGCTGACAAAGCAATTTTAATCTTCCACTCATCAGGTCAGAATCACAAGAATATCAAATTGTGGAAGTATTGGAATGTCGATGTGTGAACGGATCAGTGAGGATGTGCTTGCTCTAGAATCCATTAATGTATTTCTTAATTTGTAATTCTAGGAAAGAGATTGCATTCAATTCATTGTAAAGGTAGATTTGAACCAGTTTAAGGAGTCGACTGAAATTTGTACATGCAGCTGCAGGTTCTCATATAGCAAACGTGTCACCTATATATCAGAAATATACAAGGGAGAGGAGGTTGGAGATCATTCAGTCCAAGATGTGTTTGTATGGGCGCTAGTCCAAGGGATGTTCCAGGTGTGTTTTCTGTGGCATTGCCTCCATTAATCAGATTCCACTTATCAAACAATCAGCATCCTCTTCTCATGCAGCATAAATTGTTGCTCTCTTTTTGAGTTTTTACGTTTTTGTGATTCTGTCCTGATGATAGAAAGTCAAAAAGCTTCAGCAGTAGACTGTTTGTTTTTTTTTCCACAATGTTCGAGTTCTGTACTACCAGGCAACTATTAATACCGATAAAGTTCATTCAATCTATCCTCCATTTAACACTTTTATGCCCAGTATCGCTCTGGTGAATGTGAACCCATCTGAAGTCACTATATTCTTCCTGAGCTCTTAAGTCCCAGAATTGAAGGCAGTTAGACCAGTTGGGGTTGACCAAATCTTCATGAATCAAGCATTACTTACCTTTATTTAATGGAGACTGGAATACAAAGGCCAACATTTATTGAGCCTTTTTTGATCACATTTTGTACCTGTTATATGTACACTTTGCTTTTTCACTGTTTAAGAGTTATTCTGATTTGTCTTGTCTGGTCTAAAGTGGGTAGCCTCACACTTCAGTCCATCTAACATACTTTTCTCTCTCGCTAAGTTTGTCTGTGTCTTCTCATAACTTGCTCCTCCAATCCATGCAGCTTCTAGTGCTATCTGTAGGATAGCTAGCTGACTGCAAGGCAGGAGGCAGAGAGTAAGGACAAAGGATAGCTATTCAGAGTGGCAGTGAGTGGGAAATATAATCTTGCAAGATTCAGTTGGAGACTAATGTTGCATACCCTTTATATTATCGGATCATTTGTGGATCAAAACACAATTTCTAAATTTGCAGGGATATCAAGTCGAGGGATATAATTAATACTGAGAATATAACAAGTAAGAGGAAGCCCATAGACGTAGAACCAGAAGTAGGCCATTCAGCCTATCAAGTCTGCTCTGTTCTTCAATGAGATTTTGTTGATCTGATAATCCTCAACTCCACTTTCCTGCCTTTTCTTGATTCCTCTCGATTCCCTTACTGATTAAAAATCTGTTTATCTCAGTTTTGACTATACTTAATGACCCAGCCTCAACAGCCCTGCGCAGTAAAGAATTCTACAGAATCTCAAGACATTCCTCCTCATGTCTGTCTTAAATGTGCGACCCCTTATTCTGAGATTATGTCCACTGGTCATTTTCGCCAGGGACAAACAACCTTTCTGCATCTCCACTGTCAAGTTTTCCAAGAATCTTGTATGTTTCAATAAGGTCTCCTCTCATTCTTCTAAATTCTAATGAGTGCAGGTCCAACCTACTCAATCTCTTCCCATAAGACAGTCTCTCCATACCTGGGGTCAGTCTAGTGAACCTTCTCTGGACTGCCTCCAATGTCAGTCCATCTTTGCTTAGATAATGGCTCAAAACTGTTCACTGTATTCTAGCCATGGTCTGACTTGTGCTTTGTATAGTGTTAGCAAGATCTCCCTTTTTTTTATTCCATTCCCTTTGAAATAAAGGCCAACAATAGATTTTCCTTCCCTATTATCCACTGAACTTGGATGCTAGGGCTCCCAAATTCCTCTGTTCTGTAGCTTCCTGTAGTCTTTCTCCATTTAAGTAATAATCGGGCTTCTCTATTCATCCTGCCAAAGTATATAACCTCACATGTCCCCTCGTTATATTTCCATCTGCCACATTTTTGCCAACTTGCTTAACCCTTTTATATCCCTCTGCAGATTCTGCCATCCTCACCAATTGTCTTCCCACCATTTTTTGTCATCTGCAACCTTGGTGATGATACATAGGAAGACATTAATAAACTTGTAGAATATTAGATTTGATTCATTCATAGAATGTTGGTGCACTGGCTGGGCCAGCATTTATTGCTTATCCCTAATTGTCTTTGTGGTGATCATGAGCTGCCTCTTGAAATGCTGCAGTCCATTTAATGTTGTTTGACCCACAATGCCATTAGGGATGGAATTCTAAGATTTTGGCCCAGCGACACTGAAGGAGTGGCGATATTCCTTCAAGTTGGGATGGTGAGTGACTTGGAGGGAAACTTGCTGGTGGTCATACTTCCATGCACCTGCTGCCCTTGTCCTCTGTGGGCTTGGAAAGTACTGTCTAAGGAGCATTGGTGAATTTCTGCAGTGCATCTGGTAGAGAGTACACGCTGCTGCTGCTCCGTTTCGATGTTGAAGCCAATCAAGTCAATTACTTTGTCCTGGATGGTGTCAGGCTTCTTGAGTGTTGTTGAAGCCGCACCTGTCAAGACAAGTGGGGGTATTCCATCATATTTCCTGATTTGTGCCTTGTAGATTTTGATAGGCTTTAGGGAAGTAGGAGATGAGAATAGGTGCATAATCGTCATATAATTCAGGGAACTGTTGTTTAAAGGAGCTAGGAGTAACTGTTTGCTGAGCTGATTCTCCCTGTTGATTTCCAAGCTCCTGCAGAGGGCTTTGCTTTGAGCAGAATTTTGGCAGGTTGTAGAAGACTAAGAAATAATTAATGGATGGTTTTTGGGCTGTGGGAATTTTTTTTTAATTCATTCACAGGATAAGGGCGTTGCTGGCTAGGCAGCATTTATTGCCCATCCCTAATTGCCCAGGAGGCAGTCACATTGCTGTAGGTCTGGAGTTGCATGTAGGCCAGACCAGGTAAGGATGGCAGTTCCCTATACGACATTAGTGAACCAGATGGGTTTTTCCAACGATTGACAATTGATTCATGATTGTCCTTAGACTCTTAATTCCAGATATTTATTGAATTCAAATTCCACCATCTGCCATGGCAGGATTCAATCCCAGGTCGCCAGAACATTATCGGGGCCTCTGGATTAACAGTCCAGCGATAATACCACTAGGCCATCACTTCCCCTTATCATGGAGATGCCCGGGGTCAGTGTTTCAACTCTTGCTTTTCCTAATAAATATTAATGTTCAAGACTTTGGGCTAGGTGACACAACTTCAAAAATTGCTAATGATGCCAAACATGGATGGACTGAAAATGTTGAGGAGGATAATGCAGAAATTCAGAAAGACATAGACATAGCAAGCGATAAGAAACATTCATGCTGCACAAGTGGGGGGCAATGATCGTCTTGAACAAGTGGGAATCTGACTTTCACTTTTTGACATTCAATGGCACTACTGTTGCAGAATCCCCCTCTATCAACATCCTGAGGGTGACCACGAGCCACTTAAATACTGTGGCTACAAGAGCAGGTCACATACTAGGATACCTGCCGTAACTCGCGTCCTGACTTCTCAAAGTGTGTCCGCCATCTCAACCCACAATCACCATCATGTACAAGGATAAGGGCGGCAGTTATTTGTTAATTTGTTTGCATGAGTATTACTGGCGAGGTTAGCATTTGTTGCTTGTCTTTAACGCTTGGAGTTAACTAGTTTGATAATTAGAGCCAACCGCATCTGCAGTACATCTTGTAGATGGTAAGCACTACTGCTACTGAGCATCAGTGGCAGAGATAATGAATGTTTCTGGCACGTAGACCAGACCAAGTAGGGATGACAGATTTCCTCCCCTAAAGGAGAGGATTACAACAATCAACAGTCACCATTAGGCTGGCTGTTTGTTCCAGATTATATTGAATTCATGTTTTACCATCTGCCATGTTTGGATTTGAACCCATGCCCCCGGAGCATTGGGCTGAGGTTCTGGATTACTAGTGCCACTGCCTCCCTGCTGTATGAGACATCATCACCTGCAAGATCCTCTCCAAGTCACTCACTATCACCGTTCCTAGGTCAAAATGCTGAACTCCTTCTGATGGCACTGTGGGTGGGTGGGCCCCACACCAAATGGACTGCAGCAATTCAAGAAGGCAGCATGCCATCACCTTTTCAAGGGCAGCTAATGATGACAGTAAGCAGTGGCCCATCATGAAGCCCACATACTATGAGAATATATTTTTTTAAAATGGCAGGTTAAGAGAGCAGTTAATAAAACCTATAGTCAGTAAAGCATACATCACAACTATAGCTGCTTGCGGAAGTAGCTATAGAGATGATGGTTGCTTTGGTTATTATCTTTGGTGATTCTGTAGATTTGGAAAGGTTCCTACTGATTGGAAGCTAACCCCACTACTTAAGGGAGGCAGGAGGAGAGCGGAGCACTACAGTTATGTTTTAGCATCAGAGAAAATGTTGGAATCTATTATGAAGGATGTGATAATTGGACATTTTGAAATAAATGCTAAAATAGATTTATGACTGGGAAATGATGTTTGACAAACTTGGCATACCCTGAGTGTCCTTTGTAGCATAGATAAAGGAGAACCAGTGGACAATGGTGTATTTGAATTGCAGAAGTATTTTGATATGGTTCCACCCAGGAAAGTAGTAAATGAAATGAAAATACATCAGGTTGAGGGGATTATATTCGTATGGGTTAAGAATCGGTTAACATGACAAGAAAGGATAAACAGGTTGCACGTCTTCTCTCAAAAATATCTTTAAAATTATAAACCGTGTGGGGTGGCACAGTGGCTCAGTGGTTAGCACTGCTGCCTCACAGCACCAGGGACCCGGGTTCAATTCCACCCTTGGGCGACTGACTGTGTGGAGTTTGCACATTCTCCGCGTGTCTGTGTGGGTTTCCTCCAGATGCTCTGGTTTTCTCCCACAGTCCAAAGATGTGCAGGTTAGCTGGATTGGTCATGATAAATTGCTCATAATGTCCAGGGTTAAGTGGATTAGCCATGGGAAATAGAGGGTTACTGGGATATGGTGGGAGGGTGTGTCTAGGTGGGATGCTCTTTGGAGGGTTGGTGTGGACTTGTTGGCCTGAATGGCCTGTTTCTACACTGGGGATTCTATGATTCTATAAACAGATTTACCTGGAATACATGCAGAGTGTCTATTGCCATTTAATGGAATACAGCAAAACTAGAGGCCATCCAGATAAGATGGTCATCAAAGCATCAAGTAGGAGCTTCAGAAGAAACCTCTTTATGCAAAAATCAGTGAAAGTATGTAACGTGCTACCAATGGAGTGAATGAAGTGAGCAGTGTAGATCCATTTAAGGGAAAGCTGGCTAAACAGACAAGGAAGAGGAGAGCCTAGGTTAATAAAAGAATTGCAGAAGGCCTGAGTGTAGCATAAACACTGTGGATTGTTTGGCTGAATGCCCTGTTTGTGTGCCACAAAAATCATTTCAGAGTACACTTGGACCACATCAGTGGACATTCCCCTGCCTCCCTGCTCATATATCGTGAGATTTATAATAGAGACGGTCATTGGTTTTCCATCTCAGATCACCAGTTTCACCATTTAACTTGTGTGCTAACCTTGTCTCTTCTCTGTGTAGTCATCGTGTCAAGCGAGCAGCACTAGCTCCAGTCTGTCTCATGACTCCAGCGTAGGTAACTGGTTACGTCGCCTAGGCTTGGAGAGATATGAAGATGGGCTGATCCATAATGGCTGGGATGATTTAGAGTTTCTGAGGTAGGTGCCTGCACAGTTGGGGTGGTGCTATTCATTCTATTTGTTCCTACCAGCGAAGCTGTAGGCTTGCCGGACGGCATATGCTTTCTCACCATGAGGTGGGCAGCCCACAGGGAAATAGACTAGTGAGGGAGACTGTATAGCTCCATTTCGCTTCAGTTTCTCCTCTTTATCAGACTGACATTCTGGCACACAAGGACAAGACGCAGTGAGAATCAGCAAAGAAGGGAAATATTAATAGCTGAGGAAATGAAAAATTCCAAACTGACTCTTGTCCCTGTCCTCTTTCTTTTGATTCTTGAACAGTGACATAACCAAGGACGACCTGGATGAGGCTGGAGTCACAGACCCCGTACACCAGAACATTCTCCTGGAGAGTTTACAGCAACTTGGAAAATAGTCTGCTGGGATTTTGACGTTTTTTTCATTATCACGAAAAAAGTGCCTTAGGGAGACTTTTTCAAAAAGTTGATATACAGTAGCTCTGAAACTCAAGCAATATTGAAAAAAGGAAAATATAAACCCAACTGACCTTTCTGGATGAGGAATGTGCTAACTCTCCTGAGCAGTGTTTGTACGACTGACTACAGCAGAGTACAGAGGCTGCCTCCTCTTCCTGCATATCCTGTTCTTTCACTCCTCTCTCCACACTGTTGAGTTTCTTCATCCTTACAGTCCGTGCAAGGGAATGTAGTGCGTTTTTGTTTCATTCCGTGAGGAAGTGTTAAGTTAAACCTGTTTTCATCATGTTCGTCACAGTAAAGAAATGCAGTAGCACAGATCGCTCAAACCGGTGCGTCCTGTTAATGTGGCTTCTGTAGTTCGTAGACAAGAGATGGACAGTGCTGATTCCTCTCACTGTGCATTGTTTGCTTTATTTTGAAGCACACCCTGTGGCTAAAATCTATCGGGGCCAGTTGCCCAGGAAAGGAGGGAGAAAATGGTATCTTCAGGGAATCTAGAAATTGCCTTCTCCTCCCTGTGCCTCAAAAAGCTCATCATTCCATTCTGGGGCCCGGAGGATGAGATGCTGCTGACCATCCATTGGTATTGTATCCATGCTGGAATTGAGGAAAGAAGGGTCAGGTGTGACAGTGTGTGCAGTGGGATATCTCAGAAGTTAGGATCTGAATCCTAAGTGTTTCTCAAAATAGGACCAATTTGTTCTGATTCTAGTCAAATGGATCCCATTTAATATTTTGCAGAATGGTGACGGTTGAGTGAGAGAGAGACTAGTCAAGGAGTATATGAGAAAATGAGTTAAGAATGTGCAGATATTTCAGCTATTTGCTTTCAGCACTAAAGGGAAAATCTTCTGTGCTCTGCAGTGAGAACTGGGCTGGATGTAGATCAGCTTCTGCTCTGCTAGAGGTAGAAGGAAGTCAGGAAATGTTCTCAATTTCTTCAAGTTATTTATTTTCCCTTGTGGTTATATTCTCACCATCCTGCGGAGGGAGTGAGGGAAGGCAGCAATCTGCTCGCTGGCCACAACCAGCCCTGCAAGTGATCACATACACCTCTTTACAGCAAGTATCTTTGTACAACTGGTCACAGGAGTTGGCTCCTGTTTCCTGTGACTGAAACCATAGGCTGGTTGTGTGTGTATGTGTGTATATGTGTTGGGGAGTGGGGTTGGGGTAGCGGGAGGTAAAGAAGTCCAGGTCAGATACCCTGGTTCCACTGCTGGGACTAGACATGTCTGCTGATTGGGTGAAGCAAGTTTGAACTGTCTCAGTGGTGTTTGTGGATTTGACTGTGAGGTCAATCAGTGCAAGTTTGGGGAGTGACCACGTGGGCCAGCTCCACTCTCCAAACTCTGTGTTTCCCATCAGATTGGGGCAGGCAGCGTTCCCTTATCTGCAGGCTCTAGGCTTCTCCAGAATGGTGGTAGGAATCAGGACTCAACTGCAACCACTCAATGGCCTGGCAGCTGAGCTCCAGCCGAGGAATTAGAGAGAATGTTATTTCTGGCAAATGGAATAAGTGAGCATTCCCACAGTTTTTTCCTTGTACATGTTTTGTTTAGTCTGTTTTTTCTTGATGGACCTGAAACCTGGAACAGCTGGTTCTGTTACTGTCTCAAGTTATTTTTGCTTGCTGTGAGATCAGTGTGTCCTGCCTAGATTCCATACCAGTGACAATCAGTCAAACATCATCACTTCCTTCGGTGGGCAGTCTGTTCCATCTCTGTCTCCAGACACTGAATCCAGTCCAGACTGAGTTTCCCAGTATTAGTGTTGACAGGCCCACCTTTTGCACAAGACCCTAAGTCCTGTCCGATAGGTGTGAAAGATCCCATGGCAATAATAAATGATGAGCAATTCACTTCTCCATGAAATCCAGGCCAATATTAACCAAATCCTAATCTAGATTCGCCTGGTCATTTCCTCATTACAGTCTGTTGGACCTTGGGACAATGTTTCCAATATCACAGCGTTTCCCAATACCTCATTGGCTATTAAGTGCTTTGAAACACCCTGAAGTCACGAAAGGTGCTATAGAAATACAAGTCCTTGTTTCTTTCCACTTCATCCCCTCATTCACTTGCTCTCACTGTCTCTTGCCCATCTCCCACAGCTCTTATTGACATTGCCAGATTAACTGAACTGCCATTAATGATTTAAAGGTTAAATAGCAAACTCAATAGAATAACTGAAGGAAAATTCACTAACTTTTGTTTTAAGTGCAATTTGCAGCATTAAGTATTGAATGGGTAATTGGTACAGTTGTGAGAAGTGGTTTAGCAGTGACTGGGAACTTCTGAATGGAAGATCAAACTGTTCCTGAGGATATGATTTAACAGCTTTTGTTTGTGGCGTACCAATTCTGCGCAAGACCCTTTACTGAGATGCATCTAGTCTCTGGTTGCTTAGTCATCCAAGGACACCTATCTCGCCCCTGTACAGTTTGAGGTAATTTCATTAAAAGTGTCGCTTTACTGAGCTTCATCTGACTTGCAGATTTCTCAAACTGTAGCCCACCAAACACTGGACGAAGCGCCCACCATGAGGTTCAGGCAGTAGACAGCCATTCAGCCCCTTGGGCCTGCTCCAGCATTGACAGATCTGCAATTTCATTTGACTACCATAGCTCCGTGTCCCTCAACACCCTAACCCAGCAAAAATCTATCTATCTCGTACTCGAAAGCTCCAGTTGTAGGCAGGAGGTGAGGGATCCAGATTTTCACTGATCAGTTGAGAAAACAACGTAGGAAGAATTCTGAACACTCCAGGTTGCTGAACTGATCTATTTGCACTCTTGGCTTGTTGTTCTACACTGTCCATTGTTAAGAATATAGTGACACTCATTCTGTGCTGGTGCACGTTCTGTCATTCAGAGGTGCTGAGCCCAACTCAATGTAGGAACCTTGTTGTTTTCCTTCCTCAACCTTTCTCCAAGTATTTGTTTTCAAAATGAAAAATGTCCTCAACTTTTTTAGAATAATTATGCAATAAGGCGTGTGAACTGCCAGAAGCCAAGAGCTTGTGTGTCTAGCCTTTGTTTAATCTTATCGTTTTTTTGCTTTTAATGTATTGTAACTGTGGCTAATTGGAGGAGTTTTTGAAGTTGCTTTTATCTGTGATATTTAATGCAATTATGCCAAGTTTTTATTTGTGGTGCCATCCCCGTTTGCTCCGTCCCCACCTAATCTCTCCTTGCTGTAATGTGTGTTGGTGATTACCACTGAGTTCCTGTTTAGCTGTGGCATAGTGATGGTAAGAACAGCAAGAGCAGATGACAAGGACATCCATGAGTATTTGTGTGCGTCTGTTTTTCTTTCATTTAAGATTTCGTATTTTTAATGATTTAATTATGTCTGTATAATACTGTTTAAAACTAAAGTTCTTTTTAACAATATTGATTGAGTTTGTAATGTCTTTACCTTAACTGTGATTCTTGTCTTGAGCATTGATTTGCATGTACCAAGGACATTGTCACACCTATTAATGATTGCAAAATGGTTGTTTTCAAATCTCTCCCTGGCAACTTGAGATTTTTGGTTCTGTTGTATGATTTATAAGGCTGATGGAAAAAAATTGAGGTTATACCTAGCATGTAGGATTGAACAGGTGGACCTACCTTGCAGCACAGCACAATCCACATTCGGAGAAGGCTGACAAGTGATGAAACTACCCTGTGCACTTTTCCATGCAGGGACATTTCTCCCTGACCAACATCTTGAATTGGATTCAATCAGAGGGATTTGATAGCACAGCCCATGTTCCAAGCAGACAAATGAAATACATGGGAACACGATCACTCACCATCCCAACTTAGAAATATATCACCATTGCTTCACTGTCGCTAGGCCAAAATCCTGGAATTCCTTCCCGAAGGGCATTGTGGGTCAACCTACAGCACATGGACTGCAGTGATTCAAGAAGGCAGCTCACCCCCACCTTCTCAAGGGCAACTAGGGACGGGTAATAAATGCAGGTCAGTCCTTGACACTGACCTCCTGAAAAACGGTTAAAAGTAAAAGAAAAAGAGCAAGTTGATGTAATGAATAATTTTGTTTTAAATACCAAGAAAAGGCATGACTTTTAGATTCTTTAGTGAAACTTCATTACTACCCTTTTTAAAATCTTAGATTCTTGTAGTGCCCATCATGACCACTAGATGACTCAAAGCACTTTACTTTGGGACTGCATTCATAGAGTCAGAGTCATATATAGTAAGGAAACAGCCCCATCGATCCAACTCCTCTGCACCAACCAGACATCCCTGTAAACCCTTCCTATTCACGTATCCATCCGTATGCCTTTTAAATTGTAATTGTATCTGCCTTACATGTGGCAATAATAAATCATTTATACTTTTCTAATCAACCTGTTCAGAGATGTCACGACACACCTCTTGAACAGGCCCATCGATCCAACTCCCTTCTGGCGAAAAGGGTAAAGAGGGTGGTTAATAGGACTTTAAACTAGTAAGTAGGGGGGAAGGGAGAAGTGAGCGTAGAGGGAGAATAACAATTAATGTAAGGCAAAGCAACAGGTTAGCAGGTGATGAGGAAGCTTCAACTCCATTGAAAATTAGGAAAAAAGTTAAAGGGAAGGAGAACTCAAGACCTGTTAGTAATGGAGGTGATAGGACCCAAAAAGAAGGTGCAAAAACTGGCATAAGGGCACTTTATCCGAATGCTCAGCGCATTCGAAACAAGGTGGATGAGTTGGTGGCGCAAATCATGGCAAATGGGTATGATTTAGTGGCCATTACAGAGACATGGTTACAGGATGGTCATGACTGGGAGTTAAATATCCAGGGGTATCAAACTGTTCGAAAGGACAGACAGGAAGGTAAGGGAGGTGGTGTTGCTCTGATTTTTAAGGATGATATCAGGGCAGTAGTGAGAGATGATATAGGTTCTACTGAACAAAACGTTGAATCCATTTGGGTGGAAATTAGGAATAGCAGGGAGAAGAAGTCACTGATAGGTGTGGTCTACAGGCCACCAAATAACGACATCGTGGTAGGGCGGGCAATAAACATAGAAATAGCTAATGCATGTAAAAATGGTACAGCAATTATCATGGGGGATTTTAATCTACATATCGATTGGTCAAACCAGGTGGGTCACGGCAGCCTTGAGGAGGGGTTCCTAGAATGCATCCACGATAATTTCCTTGAACAATTTGTAATGGAACCTACGAGGGAGCAAGCTATCCTAGATTTAGTCCTGTGTAATGAGACAGGAATAATTAATGATCTCACAGTTAGGGATCCTCTCGGAAGGAGCGATCACAGTATGGTCGAATTTAAAATGCAGATGGAGCGTGAGAAGGTTAAATCCAGTACCTATGTCCTGTGCTTAAACAAAGGAGACTATGAAGGAATGAGGAAGGAGTTAGCTAAGGTAGAATGGGAGCAAAAACTTTACGGTGGGTCAATTGAGGAGCAGTGGAGGACTTTCAAAACAATTTTTCACAGTGCTCAGCAGAAGTATATTCCAGTGATAAGGAAGAACTGTAGGAAAAGAGAGCTAGCCATGGCTGTCTAAGGAAATAAAGGAAAGTATCAGATTGAAAAAAAACACATACAAAAAAGCAAAGAATAGTGGGAAACTAGTAGACTGGGAAATCTTTAAAGGCCAACAGAAAGCCACAAAAAAAGTTATAAAGAAAAGTAAGATAGGTTGAGAGTAAACTAGCTCAGAATATAAAAACAGGCAGCAAAAGTTTCTATAAATATGTAAATTGTAAAAGAGTGGCGAAGGTAAACATTGGTCCTTTAGAGGATGAGAAGGCCAATTTAATAGCTGGGAATGAGGAAATAGCCGAGACATTAAACAGTTATTTCGTGTCGGTCTTCACAGTGGAAGACACAAATAACATGTTGAAAACTAATAGCAAGAAGGTTGTAGCAGGTGGGGACCTAGAAACTATCATTATCACTAAGGAGGCAGTGCTGGGCAACCTAATGGGGCTAAAGGTAGACAAGTCTCCTGGCCCTGATGAAATGCATCCCAGGGTACTAAAAGAGGTGATGGGGGAAATAGCGAATGCACTAGTAATTATTTACCAAAATTCACTGGACTCTGGGTTGGTTCCTGCAGACTGGAAAACAGCCAATGTGATGCCACTGTTTAAAAAAGTAGACAAAAAGCAGGTAACTATAGGCCAGTTAGCTTAACTTCGGTAGTGGGGAAAATGCTTGAATCTATCACTAAGGAAGAAATAGCAAGACATCTGGATATAAATTGTCCCATTGGGAACACCCAGCATGGGTTCATGAAGGGTAGGTCATGTTTAACTAATTTGGTGGAATTCTTTGAGGACATTACTTGCATGGTGGACAATGGGGAACCTGTGGCTGTGGTGTATCTGGATTTCCAGAAGGCATTTGACAAGGTGCCACACCAAAGACTGCTACATAAGATAAAGTTGCGTGGTATTACAGGTAATGTATTGGCATGGATGGAGGATTGGTTGACCAGTAGAAAGCAAAGAGTAGGGGTAAATGGGTGTTTTTCTGGTTGGCGGTCAGTGGCTAGTGGTGTGCCTCAGGGATCAGTGTTGGGACCTCAATTTTTTACAATTTACATAGATGATTTGGAGTTGGGACCTAAGTGTGGTGTGTCAAAATTTGCAGATGACACTAAGGTGAGTGGTAGAGCAAAGTGTGCAGAAGACACAAAGTCTGCAGAGGGATATAGATAATCTAAGTGAGTGGGCAAAGGTCTGGCAGATGGAGTACAATGTTGATAAGTGTGAGGTCATCCATTTTGGTAGGAATAACAGCAAAATGGACTATGTTTTAAATGGTAAAAAATTGTGGCACGCTACTGTGCAAAGGGACTTGGGTGTCCTTGTGCATGAATTGCTGAAGATGGGATTGCAGGTGCAGCAGGTGATTAAAAAGGCAAATGGAATTTTGTCTGCTCATTGCTCGAGGGATGGAGTTTAAAAACAGGGAGGCTATGCTGCAGCTGTGTATGGTCCTGGTGAGGCCACACCTGGAGTACTGTGTGCAGTTTTGGTCTCCTTACTTGAGAAGAGATATACTAGCACTGGAGGGGGTGCAGAGGAGATTCACTCGGTTGATTCCAGAGTTGAGAGGGTTGGATTATGAGGAGAGACTGAGTAGACTGGGCTTATACTCATTGGAATTCAGAAGAATGAGGGGAGATCTTATAGAAACATATAAGATTATGAAGGGAATAGATAAAGTGGAGGCAGGGAGGTTGTTTCCGCTAGCAGGTGAAACTAGGACTAGAGGGCATTGCCTCAAAATAAAGGGAAGCAGATGTAGGACTGAGGTCAGGAGGAACTTCTTCACCCAAAGGGTGGTGAATCTGTGGAATTCCCTGCCCAGTGAAGCGGTTGAAGCTACCTCGCTGAATGTGTTTAAGGCAAGGCTAGATAAATTTTTGAACAGTAAAGGAATTAAGGGTTATGGTGAGTGGGTGGGTAAATGGAGCTGAGTCTCAAAGATCAGCCATGATCTTATTAAATGGCAGGGCAGGCTCAAGGGGCCAGATGGCCTACTCCTGCTCCTAGTTCTTATGTTCTAACAGATGGGGCTTGAACTGTCAGTTAAAGTGTTGAAAGGCAAGTCAAAATATTCAGAGATAAATGAGAATTAAGAAAATAGAAACATAACAGAAGGAAAGGTCTGACATACGAGGCGAGATTGACTAGGTTAGGATTGTTTTTGCTAGAGTTCAGACGAATGAGGTGGGGTGGGGGGTGTGATCTCATAGAGACTTAAAATTCTACCGGGACTAGACAGGGTAGATGCAGGGGGGGATGTCCAGAACCAGAAGGGTCTAGGCCCAAAATGTCAACCTTCTTGCTCCTATGATGCTGCTTGGCCTGCTGTGTTCATCCACTTCTGCACCTTGTTGTCTCAGATTCTCCAGCATCTGCAGTTCCTACTATCTCTGTCACAGTATGAGGATTCGGCGCAGACAATTTAGGACAGAGATGAGGAGACATTTCTTCACCCAAAGAGTGGTGAGCCTGTGGAATTCATTATCACAGGAAGTAGTTGATGCCAAAACATTGAAAGTATTTAAGAGGTAGCTAGATATGGCACTTGGGGTGAATGGGATCAAAGGTAATGGGAAGAAAGCTGGATTTGGCTAATGAGTTGGCCGATCAGCCATGATGGTGAAGAATAGCCTCCTCCTGCTCCTTTCATCTATGTTTCTAAACACTTCTGCTCCTCAGGCTTGCTCCACTTCATTACATTTTGAAGGATCTTTAACTAAAATCCATTTACCTTTGATCATCCTCCCGAACGAAAATCCATCAGTATCAGTTTTAATGCTTCCATTGATCCAAAGCATTCATCAGTTTTTTAGGGGAGGGAATTCTGTTCTATTATAGTGGCTTTCTTCCCGAGGGCTATGCTGG